TATATAAAACTTGTATAATTAGATATTTAAGGTACATAAATTATATTTTTATTAATGATTAATAATTTATATACAGTAAAATATTATTTTTTTATTTATAATTTATTTTAAAAAATATTAAGAATTTAATTCATAAATAATTATGATAAATAAAAATAAAATTAAATAAAAAGTTTAAAAAATTTTCCTAAAAACTCTCCCATTAAAAAAAATTCTAATAATCCTTTCATTGAAGAAAATTCCTAAAAACATTGTTGTACAAAATAAAGATTTGTATTTAATATATAGGAGTTAATTTTTTATTTTATTTATATATAATATTATTATTAAGAAACTGGAAAAAAAATATAAGCAATTATTTTACACATTTTGAAAACTATTAAAAAAATCCTCTTAAATGGTGCAGTGTGATATAATTATAAACAGTATTTTAGTAGTGCAGTTTACATGTTTATTATAATATAACTAAAATTTATAATAAGTATTATATTTGAATATTTCAGTATATTAAATATGAATTATTATTTTGGATAAGAAAATTTTTTTCAACAAGAGAATTTGTGCAGATTCTTTAAATTTTTTATTTAATTTAATTTTTAATTATCATAATTATTTATAAATTAAATATTAATATTTTAAAATAAATTATCAATAAATAAAAATATTTTTTGTTACAATATAAATTATTTATCATAAATTTAAAATATAATTTATTTATTTATCATGTAAAATTTAAATATAATTTATATATTCAAACATAACATTTATTTTTATATAATTTGTTATAAATTTTAATTATATATAATAAGCATGTATGTATATATATAGAGAGTCGGGATTTGTCAAGGTATAAGTCGAAATACTTAGATTAAATCTTATACCTTTAATAATTTTTTGTATAATACAAATTTAACCGGTTTTATACTTAAAATCATGTTTACCAAATGTCGTATGATTTCAAAATTATTTAGTAGGTCATTATATTATTTTATTTCAAGATATAATATAATATTTAAAATATATGTACATATCTAGCTATTTTTGGATAACATATATAAAAAAGTTTAGCTTATGTAAAATTTAACGTACACAATCTTTAGTATAATATCACATTATTTAATGGTTGTATCAGTTAAATCTACATTATATAAAAATTATTAAAAGTATAAGATTTTATATAACTATTTATACTCACAACTAGTTTCAATGGATTATTTTATTTTTATCTATTGATATTTATTTTGAAAATATTAAAATTTAATTATAAATAAATATAAAATTAAATTAGATAAAAAATTTAATACATAAGAGTTTATTTCTTTTAAATATTACATACCATTAATTGGACGATGAGAACAGCCTGGCATGGAATAATAGATAGATTGGATGAAATATATGATAGATAACAAATAACAGTAATAGATAACTAATTAGATCTTTCTCCAAAATAAGAGATAACTAATTAGAATATTGTTATCTGTCATAAATCTAATCTAATCTAATCTTTAATAAAAACTTATATCAGGCTAGCTAGTATTTAAAGTCCAACCTTAAACTGTTGCTCTCAATCTCACTGTAGCTTTGGACTTCAAATTTGCGATACTTTTTGTTTTCTGCTTTCTGTTGTTGAATTACTTTTTGTTTTCTTTCTGTCGTTGAACATCCATTAAAAAGGTTGATGTTATGTTACACAATCCTCTACAACCTTTTCTTGCTTTTTCTTTGTCAAATTTCATGCTTTTATCTTTGTTAATGAACAAGCTTTTTACAGGATAATTTTTCATATGGTTCTTGGCTTTGGATTAAAATCATTGTTACAGCTAGCATTTGTGCTTTAAATCATTAGGGTTTTTGCTTATTTGTTCTTTTGTTATACAGAGAACATGTTGCCACATCAGTTCGCGGAAGATTTCTCAGACTCATTCAATATGGTATTTTTTTTTAATTTATTTTTTTCAGATTCAGACTATTCATCCTGCATTGAGGAGTTATGGTTTGTAAAGGGAATAAATTAGTGAATATTTGTTGGTATATAAAAAAAAACTATATGAATCGGTGTCCAAATTAATTTTTAAACATCCTTTTCTTTTAATTCACGGAGACAACTTCTGGAGATAAATTTTAAAATTCAAGCGGGAGTTAAAACAAATAACATTTTATCTTTTATATTTAAAAAATGTGTTATGTGTTGTGTTCATCAAAAAGTCTACTCCTTTTTAAATTTCTTGTTAATGCAAATATGGATCACAATAAGCATTTGCATAAATTAGCACACAAAACTATTTATCAATTAATTTGAAGTTGTGCTAGTCTAATCATGTGTCGAATTTGATCTAACATGCATTTATATTCGATCCTTGGATAGAGAGTTTTGTTATTTTTAATAGTTGTAACTTGTAATTAATTCAAATAAAATTGTTTTTAATAAAAAAATACATGAGATAAAAAAAGGTTACCAACACAACAAATTTTTTTTTCAAAATAAAAAACGCTGGCATTAATTTGCATCGAGTGAAAACATATGTAGAACTTGGATGAGGCGGTGACTTGAGTTTTTATCAATGTGTCTGACTCATTGATTACCATTATATTTCTTAGAAAATTAATTCCTTGCTGTTTTGATGAAATTTGGTATAATTGCTTTTGATAATATGATTGGGGTTGAGTTAACTCTTTTTTTTTTTTTTTTTTCATTTTTTAAGGATTGGGAAGAGGATGACATGTTTGAAGAAGTTTACAGATGCTACCCTGTCTCCTTCATCGAAAAGGTATGACTTCTTTCTTAAACCCAAGGTTTTCTGATCATAATTTAAAATATGAGAGAAACTTATCCTTTGGTGCTTAATACTTGTTATAAGGATCCATTGATCAAGGATAAATGGCTCCACATCTCTGCCATTTTACCACACAAATTTTTCATTATATTAGTCCATAGATCATACTTTTGATTTTTAGCATTTTTCATGTACACAAATGACAAAATTAGGAAATCACACTTTTTTATTTTTTATTTATTTATTGTATTATTGTATACCCGTGTTGATCCAAACATCAAAACTGATACCGACTTTTGATATTTTGCAGTCAAATTTGGAGAATGGTGGTAAAAGTATGTATTCCTACAACTCATATTTTATCTTTGCTATATAATATCTACGAAATTTTGATAGCTTTTCATGCTGACATAAACCTGCTAATGCGAACTCTTTTTGCCTCAGTTATCATGCCCCCTTCAGCCCTACATAGTCTTGGTAAGTCTATGTTTGTCTGTAAATTTGATTCATCTTCTCTCTGACTAAATTAGTTGGTTATTCGTGTAAAAATTTCCAGTATCTTTGGACATGGAGTATCCTGTGTTATTTGAACTGACAAATCCTTCTGCTGAAAGAGTTACCAACTGTGGAGTCCAAGAATTCACCGCTGATGAGGGGAACATATATATGCCAGAATGGGTATATACTGATTTTCTTTCCTTCTTTGTTCATATTTATTTCTTTATCAGCTTAATCAGTTTTGTTTAAACTTTTGTTATTTGCTGATTATTGTCAGATGATGGAAAATATGCGCCTAGAAGTGGGAAACTATGTGTCTCTGAGAAGCACCAGCCTTCCAAGTGGAACATATGTGAAGCTGCAGCCTCACACCAAGGACTTTTTGGATCTCTCCGATCCAAAATCCATGTATGAATGTGTCACATATAGTTGCATGAATCTTTAACAAATCTCATAGTTGGTGTGCCAATTAACATTTTCTTAATTTCTCACTCAGCCTTGGTCATTTTTACAGCTTAGAGTATTCACTGAGGAGCTACTCGTGTTTAACAACTGGTGACACTATAATGATCGCTTATAACAACAAGAAGTATTACATTGATATAGTTGAAACCAAACCCTCTCCTGCAATCAGCATAATTGAAACGGACTGTGAAGTTGATTTTGCTCAACCTCTTGATTATAAAGAACCCGAGAAAGAGTTGTCACCTCCTTTGCCTGACAATGGACCTAATGAAGGTTGTGATTATGAGGGATACTAGTGACATTTTCTCTAGAACTTACTTTCTTACACTTTCATTGTTATTAATTAAAATTTGTTGAAAATCACATTGTATCTCACTTAATAAGACATTTGGTAGTGTCGGTGTCACTAGCATTTCTCTTTTCTTTGTAAAGCACTTCTGTTTTTTCAAGTGTAAAATTCATCAAGAAGATTGTGACTCTATTCTTTGTTTCAGTTCAAGATAATTCAGAAACAAAGACTGCAGGGATCATTCCATTCACTGGTTCTGCAAGACGTTTGGATGGCAAACCCTCAACACAATCAGCTGAAGAATCCCCCTTTTCAATGCTAAAGCAGCAACCGACTGAAAATGAAACCAAGAATTCCAATTCTAAACCATCTCGAACTTCCGGAAAGCTTGTGTTTGGGACAAATGCACCAAAAATTCAGACACCCCCAAAGGTGAGTCTTATTTGTAGTAATCTTTGTGGAGCAGCAGACACTTGCCCTCAACCTATGGTTCATTGACATGATTTACCAAATTTTCTCTTATTAGGCTTCTCTGGAAAGCACACCTCAAGAGTCATCTTCTGAAGAAAAGCCAAAATTTGAAGCTTTCACGGGAAAGAAGTATTCATTAAAAGATTGATCTTCCTTAGGCTACGTTATAGGTAGCTTGGTTTAGTCAACTAGAGCATCGTCGAGATGTCAATCATTCATATTCATATTTATGAACTATTTTTTGATTCACTTTGCCTGTTTCAAACTCTATTATATATAATATATATCATTAATCGTAAGCTTCCATGTACGGATTTATGAGTTATTTACTTGATTATCATCATCAGAGTACAAAACTCTATTATATATATCATTAATCGTAAGCTTCCATGTACGGATTTATAAGTTTGTAAATTTTATAAAAATTATTGGGGAAATATATCAAAATTAATTTTTAAATTAATAACTTAAAAACTTTCCACTATCAATATATGTCTATAAGCCAAATGAAATAAAGTAGAACACAAATGGAGAGAAAGAAATAGCTACTTGTTTGCCGAGTGACGAGAGTAAATTAGTGTTTTTAAATTTGAGACTCTCATAAAAATTGCTTGCAAAATTGGAAGTGCGACGAAATTCACACGCCCTTCATTTGGTATGATAATGATTAATAATAATGACAATTATAATAATTATGACTAGTGGAATTGAAGTATTTAAAAAATAAAAATAAATAATAAAAATATGTTGATTCAAAAAGTTTTTTAATTAAATAAAAATTTTAATTTTTTTAGTAAAAAGATATAATGATTTGTTAAATGTGGAGAATAAAGTAATTACTAAAAAAATATTTTCTTTATATATATTATAAAGGTTGAAATATTTCATGTCTTTAATAGTTGTTATGTAAACAAGATATTAGAAGATTGTATATAATTATTCAAAGAGAATATAATTTTTCTTACATTCGAGAGATAGTAAAAACCAAAAGTGACTACATAACTCAATATTTTCTTTATAATAGGTATAGAAGATAGATTATAAAGGTATAGATATTGATAGAATAATAATAATAATAATAATAATAATGAAAATGATAATAATAATAATAATAATAATGATAATAATATTTATTTATTTATCAATTTTCAAACTAAATTCCTTAAAAAATTAATTCTCGCTTTATTTTTTCTAAATTAAACAACTTTTTTCATTCTATTTTGTACTTATTTTTCTTTCTCTATCAAATAGATCAAATAGACCTATGTGACTTAAAATCAATAAATGTATACTTGTAAATAAATAATATAATATTTACTCAACTTCATCAGAGAAACGCAATTGTGCTACCTCACAACTCACAAGGCTTTCAAGCTATTATACATGGTTACATTGAAAGAACTAATATGATCATGTGTGTATGTATTATCGCATGAATCACATTAATTTTTATGCTTATACTGTAATGGGTGAAAATTAGCAGACGGGGTGACAGGATCACATGAAATGAAACTAATCCATCAAACTAAAGATGAGCAAGAAACAGAATCATAAGGTGTGGCACATGACCAACAAGGGTTACATATAATATACAGAAATTAGAGTTTAAATGACCATATATTATAATAATCAGATCAGAGAGCTGCCAATACAGTATAAGACACCACCAATTGGAGGGAGGGGGGACCTCTAAGCTTTTACTGGTGTTTCAATTCCAACCTTGTACTGAACAATTTCATGCTTCTCGTCAGAATCCCAAAGCTCTGGAAATGCCTCCCTCATATTATGAATACTCTCTAATGCATGATCCACTCCCATCGAACGAACAGATGTACCCACCTGCATGCACGTGCCATTTGGATTAGACATTTAAATTTATATCAAATTATGTTATTTGAAAGGATTACATTATATGCTAAGAAAATAGACGGGGAAAAAAGGCCTCACGGTCAAACTTTAAAAAGATTTTTGTCCTAATGCAAGAATAAATGTTTTAATTCTAAGTGAGCGTCCAAATGCAGCAACATAAAATATGCTCCTATGATTCGTTTCATTACTTACCACGACTGTGTGGAGGCCCAAGCGTTTGGCTGTCACTAAGTTGCGGACGCTGTCATCAAAGAACAACTGAAAAGAGCAGAAGCAATAAAAATAGGAATGAATAAATAATGTCATTTGTCCCAAAAAAAATGTCTAGAGATTAAGAAAGGAAATGATCACTTTAGGCCGAAGAGCAACACAGTGAAAATGCAAAAGATAAGAACAATGACGAAGTTTCTCTAATCCCTTTTCTTTTTGCAAGAGATGATACCCCTTTGATAATTAATGAATAAGGCATGGTGTAAATATAATAGGATCAATTTGAATGTGTTCTGGATTTTAATTTCAAAAGTTTATTTTATATTGAAGTAAGAACTGTTGTTCAGAACAAAATATATATCTATACTAATAGATAATCTGTACTAACTTATACTAATAGATAAAGAGAATACTTCTTTCTGTAACTTTTTTTTGTCATAACGATTGTGGACAATTATATCCTTAATTTTTAAGAAAAAAATAAATACTTTTAATAATCGTTATTAACCAACTTTAAATAACTGCTCACATTATTATATTTGAAAACTATATACTTCTATATACTTACTAATAGATAAAAGGAATACTTCTTCTGGTAATCGTTTTTCATTTACGATTATATTCTTAATTTTTAAGAAAAAAATAAATACTTTTAGTAACTATGATTAACCAATTCTAAATAACCGCTCACACAATTATATTTTTTTTTGTTTATTTTACTTTTATAAATATTTAGAAGTGCCTCTTTCCCCATAATAAGAAGAAAAAAGAATGTTAAGCATTAATTTGAAAACAATTTTAGACATGAGAAGGGATAAAAAACTCGTTAAATTTATTTTGGAAATATGTTTACTCCGGATGTTTCCTTTGTTTCCGGAATTAAAAACAAGAGTAGGAACAACCTACTATACCTATTTCTATTTTCAGTTTAAAGAACATATAAATTGATAATAATTTTAAATTTTTGTTTTTAAAAAATAAGTTACCCAAACATATATTTGTGTTTTTTAAAATTTTTAGTAATTTTTAAAGGTGTGGACTCAAATTTGAGACGAAAGAAAACAGCTACAATGTACGAGGGAAGAATCCACGTTCTTACTGTTCTTTGAGGATCAATATCTGCTAACTTGAAAGCATTTTCAAATGCATCCTCAAAGGGTTTGCAGACCACAGGGGTCTTTGGAAGAATCATATCAGATTCAGGCCTCTGAATGTGCTCACAAAAGTCAAAAATTCCAGCGTATTCACTGCCATCTTTCTCACAAGGAGGATTGGTGTTGTTGGAGGGATTCAGAGTGTCAAAGCTTATAATTCTTTCAAAGCAGTCCTCCAGACCAAGGCTTTTAAGCGCTCTAACTGCATGGTTTGTGTCTGCATTTGTAAATATCTGAAAAGGGGAACCAAGAACAGATATAATTATACCGAAGAGAGGCTTCTCCTTAAGTACTATTTTCACAATTGAAAAAATAACTTAGAAACTTACAAGTTTCCTAACAGGCAGGCTTTGCAAAATGCCCCTGAGAACAGGGTCTGGTTTCAGCAGATTATTATATGGCAATCTCCCATGAACAAAACTGTTCAACACAGATGCACATTTCACATGGTTTAAGCTTTAAAGTTGATTGAAATGAATGGAAAAGTGGACTAATAAAACATGTTGAGACAATTACCTATGAAAGTCATCATATTTAAAGTCATAACCAATTGCCTGATGAGAGGACAAGGTCACAAGTGAAAAAATGACTAGTTCTTGTTAAACATCGGTTTTGCATTAAAAAAAATATAAAATGTTCGTAATATATTCAATTATTTAAAGGTTAATTAAACATACCTTTAGACCAGCCATCGTTGTCCCATAAATCCTGTATAATGGACAGTTTAATTGGGCAACTTTGGCAGCCTCCATCCCAAGCTTCTGAATCATATACTCTGTGCAATCAACCCAGTTTTTATTAAAAAAATAAAATAAAATAATAACCTTAGCTTCAATACCATAAGTGGTAAAGAAAAATGTTTTATTGACATCAAAATGGGACAACATTTTGTCATCCCCTTAAATTTTGGGGTATAATTTTGAGACGTGTATTAAAAAAGGATCGAAAGAAAGTGAGACGTAGAGATAATTGACTATGGTATCATATACTTTGTCAAATTTTTTTTTTTTTTATGTTCCAATAATAGAAGTCTGGAAAATTGATTACCTTCAATATTTTGTGATATTTGTGCCGACACTCCAGAACTCAAAGGATAAAGGGTGTCATCAAGATCTGAAATTATGGAAAACAGGTTATACATTCATAACCTAGGCAGGAAAATAAAGCAATTGTGAGATAACAAATTCAGCATTGATTGTAAAGGATTACCAAATAAAAGACAATCATATTTTGGCTTTGAAACTTCCTGAAACTTATGACCGTCTTCCATTTTCACTTGAATATCGTTGGCCTGATTACAAGTAGTCACAAGCACACTTAGTGAGAGAAAAAACAAAAAACAAAAAAACCCAAAACAGAAGCGTGAAATGAAACTGCACATTGTCGTCTGAAAATTTCATTTTAGTACTCCCAAAGAAGGGAAAAAAAAATCAAAATTTGATCTTCCAGTCCATGTCCGGAAAAAATGAAAAACCGCAGATACCAAGAGTGCAGGTTACAAAAATAACAATAAATGAACATACAAATCAAAAAATTAACACAGTAGAGAACCGTAGCAAAAAAAAAATGCAGAAACAAAGGGCAATTGTTGAAAACGAAAAGGTTTCATTTTTATAGCGAAGAATAAGAGGGGGGTCGAGCACAGTTTGGTAACGTTAAAGTAAAAGCGAAGCAGAATGAGAAAAGAGAGAGAATGAGAAATTACTGGTAGTTGAGAGAGGAAGATGCAGAGCGCAGGAAGTAGAGAGAAGTAAAAGAGAAGAGAAAAAGAGTTTAAATAGAGAAGAACGTTTAGAAAATAAAGAATCGCGTTCGCATGATTTTTAAGTGCGTTGAAGATCTGGAAACAGAATCATCAAAAACTATGTTTTTTCAAGCCATCCCTTTCTGACTTATCAGATCTTTTCACCAATTGACACGTTCAATTTGTTTAATTTTTTCAACATTTTATGAAAATGAAAATATTAATAAAATAATTGTTTATTTAATGTCTTAAAAAATTCAACAACATTCATTTTATAAGGATAATGTATTATTTATTTTATCTTTATATTTATAATTAAATCTTATATATTAAATATGAACAATTATTGTAATATTGTAAGTAGAATATTGTAGTTATTTTTAATTATATTGTTGTGTTTAATCTTTAATTATTGTTTTGTGTTGAGAAGCTCCAGAGTTTGGTGAAATTCCTTCTAAGTATTGTTGTTAGGAATGTTTTTAAATAGATATCAAGTTAGACTTGTAAGAAAAAAATATTTAAGCTCTTTCTTTATAAATGTGTTTTACTAGTTCATATTTTTAGAAAAGTTAGAGAGAGTAGTGAAAGAAACTTCGAGGATTTGAAACTTTCCTTTTCTTCATCTCAAATTCTTAAGCGAAGATTTAAGCTTGGAGGGTTAAAATCATTTCTGGGATGTCGATGCAGAGATTTCGTGAAACTTTCTTCTTCTTTCTCTTCTCTCACGGGTTGGGAGACCTTGAGATAATGGAAGTTGGAATTCTTGTTTTTAGTTAAGTTGTCGAGTTATTGAATGATTTATGAGTTGAATGTTGTTAGAATATTTGAGATTCATAGTTGTGTAGGTTGATTTCGAAGTAGGTTGCATGTTGAAATTGGGATTCTCTTGAATGAGTTGAGCAAAAATTGATGATATGGATACATTGATGGTTGCATGAGGCATTTTATGAGATTTTGAGTTGTATGATGATAATAGATGACTATTTCTAAGTTGCATGTATGAATCTTGTTGTTGGATGAGTGGATTTATGGAATGATTGGGTTGTTCTTCCATTGTTATGTTCATTGTTGAATTCATGCATTTTTTGGGTTTGATCGCTTAGAGCGCCCATGGGAGGTGCTCAAAGTGAGTAGGTGCGACCAAATCAAAGGCACTCTCTTACTTCACTCACTTGGAGCGAATTATGATTACTCAAAGCAAGATGCAATGGCTTGAGTGAGAACTTACTCACTTAGAGAAGGGTGATATGGTGATGCAAAGGTAGTAATTATGACTGCATTTGCTTAAAGTGAATTCTTGAACGTTCTAAGCGAATTACACTCGCTTAAAGTGAGGGTTGACTCACTTGAAGCAAACAAATCGAGATTTCTAAAGGTGTTCACTATCTAAGCTCGCTCAAAGCAAATTTAGGGTGCTGAAAGCGAATTTTATTGCTCAAAACGAGCTCACACTTGAAGAACTGATTCATTGCCTATTTCTGGAGGTGATGTTCCAAATGATATGAGATGAAGACTCATTGTAGTTATTGCATGTTGATTAATGAACATGAATATAGTAGATTGATGTATTACATGTGTTGAGATGAAAAATGTAGTTCATGTGATGTACATTAATTTATAAAGATGATGTTTTAGGTGGTTAAAGTTGGAAGTTGATAAATGAGGAAAGTTGTATTACGTTGTATGATGCTATGGTTGGTTTGTGTTGACCATGTTGTTGAGTTGAAATGGATGAGTTGTAAAGTTGTAGGTTGTGTAGTTATATTTAAATTGATCTATGTATATCGTTGTCATGTTGTTGGGATGATGAATATTGAGAATTCTTTAGGCATTCCAACATGGTGTTGAAAACTTTGTTGATCAACTAAGGACTAGAGGAAATATTGTTTTAAAAGTTGCATATCCTATTGTGTGGATATTGCATTATGGTGTTTTGAGAGTCCAATTTGTTGAAAATCTTTTTTGAAAAATTGACCCTTAAAGAGGATAGTGAAGCCTCCTCTAGGGCCTTAGTTGGTATTGTATGTGGGGAAGGTTGATGCATACGTGCATAAAGTAACCATAGTATATGGGCAATGTCGAGTTATACTGATTACAAGTGACCAACCAAGTAAAGTATGAAGTCAAAAATTTAGTTTTTAATTGAGTATCTGAAGATCACAGTATTTGGAAGGTATTTAGTGAGTTAATCTCATAGAAGGTTTAGTTAAGCTAACTAATGTTATGGTAACTCAAACCCAAGTTACTATTTCGTAACAGTAGTCCAGGAAGTCCAATGGCAAACTCTGTTTTATCCACTTCTCCAGTTGGGTCTGGAAGTCCTGTTAGGCACAATGAACTAAATATGCGTTTTGCTTCGGGAATGAGGAATTTAGCTGGGGTCATGGGACCTTGGCATGTAGATAATGGGAACATTGATGAAAGTTTTGCTTCTTCTCTGTTGGAAGAGTTTAAAAGCAATAAAACTAAGTGTTTTGAGCTCTCTGAAATTGCTGGTCATGTTGTTGAGTTCAGGTATGCTTTTTGCTATTGGTCACTATATGCTGCCACCCTGAAGAATTAAATATGATTAATAAATTATCATTGGCAGTGCGGATCAATATGGGAGCCGATTTATTCAGCAAAAGCTTGAAACAGCTACTACAGAAGAAAAAAACATGGTTTATCAGGAAATCATGCCACATGCGCTTGCTTTGATGACTGATGTCTTTGGTAATTATGTGGTTCAAAAGGTAATCGTTTCTATTTCAATTAATTATTATTTTTTCATTAATCTTGTTTGAGCAATAGTTGTAATTGTATATTGCAGTTTTTTGAGCATGGACTTGCATCCCAAAGGAGAGAATTAGCCAACAAACTTCTTGGCCATGTTCTGACACTTAGCCTTCAAATGTATGGTTGCCGGGTCATCCAGAAGGTATTGACAATATAATATGGCAGTAGTTGATAATGATATGGATGTGTTAGGCTCTATCTGTAATTTTCTGGATATCTTATCATTTTTCTTTTGATCTTGCAATTATGTATCTCTCTCTAGGCCATCGAAGTTGTTGATTTGGATCAGAAGATAGAGATGGTTCAAGAGCTTGATGGTAATGTAATGCGCTGTGTACGTGATCAGAATGGTAATCATGTCATTCAGAAGTGTATTGAATGTGTCACTGAAGATGCAATACACTTTATTGTGTCAACATTTTTCGATCAAGTTGTGACACTCTCAACCCATCCATATGGTTGTCGGGTGATACAGGTAAGTTTCTTCTCTGCGTATGTTACTCTTATTATGTACTTAAGATCATTTGTCATATAATAATAACCTTCTATGTGACAGAGGGTATTGGAGCACTGCAAAGATCCTATAACTCAGCAGAAAGTTATGGATGAGATTTTAGGAGCAGTTAGCATGTTAGCTCAAGATCAGTATGGCAACTACGTTGTTCAGGTTTATATTTTTCTCTGATGGGTTTGTTTCTTATTGTCTAGTAGTGGAAGTATGTTTTTATGGTTCTAATGTTTTGTTTGGTTTGAACATGATATGCATTCTTGTTTGCAAGTCTTCTGCTTTCAAGCTTTTTTTTTTGAGAAATAGATTTCATAATTGTTTATCTAGACCTTTGATTGAGTGTAGTCCCAACAATTGTCACGCCACAATGTGTTTTGAAATTATTCTCATTATATTGATTTTTATACTTCTAATCTGTTCACTGACAATACAAAATGAATGTCTTTTCCTTTGGCAGTCTTCAAATCTTTACATACAACATTGTTATTATCATAAATGATATCATGAAACCTTTCAATTAGAAACATATTTTTCTTTTTATGAGTTTTACTTAACTTATCGGGAATGGCTTTGGAACACTTGTAATGCTTAAGTGACTATTGTTTTTACTTGTAATTCTTTATTTTTAAAAATATGTTACGTTATGTTATAGCTTCCTGTCCTATTTACTTTATGATTTTAAGATGCCATCCAAGGTTGGTTATCTCTCTCACATGATACAGGCTTCTGTTCCCTACTGTGCCTAATATTACATTACCTCAAATGTGATACAGTTTGCTATAACTTCGACATTCCTGTGGTATTTCATTTATATCTGTGACTTGATCTCTTGCTTTTGATTTCTTCCCTCCTTGATAACAGCATGTACTGGAACATGGGAAGCCTCATGAACGCTCTTCTATAATAAAGGAACTAGCAGGCAAGATAGTTCAAATGAGTCAGCAGAAGTTTGCTTCAAATGTTGTGGAGAAATGTTTGACCTTTGGAGGTCCTTCTGAGCGCCAATTGCTAGTGAACGAGATGCTTGGCTCTACCGATGAAAATGAGCCTCTTCAGGTTTTTTGAACTTCCTTTTTCTAATAATCCCACTCTTAATTTTGAGGCAAATTAGAAGGCAATGCTCGTATTCATTTTTAAGCCCATTGTAACCTAGGTTTATGTTCAATACCATCATAAATGTTTGTTGGAAAGTCATCTTAATTATTGACACCCGTAGCCCACCTTAGTTGTGGCATCTTTTGGGACTTCAAGGTTGGGTTTAGTCCTGTACTGACTAGAGATATGGCTTGAATAGGACTTATTTTGTGAGATCTTAGAATACAAGTTGGTTTTGAAGTTGAGTTAGCCCCAAGTCCAAATTCTAATACAGTATTGGAGTTTATTCTATATTCATTGTTGGGCCACCTGCATTGCCACTATCCAGTCTGGTTGCCTGGGCATGAAGGGGTGTTGGAAAACTGGCTTAATTTGGTCACTCCAAGCCTTCCTGAGTCACTGCCTCTTCAGGGTCACATTTATTGCAGCCCCGAGGCTGGGGTTTTAGTCCCATATTAACTGGAGTTCTTACTTAAATAGAGCTTATAAATCATTGGTTGTTTTATCTTACGAGCTAGTTTTGTGAGATTAAGTTAGGTCATTAGTCCAAATTCAAAGAATGATCACCAACGACCTCATGATTTCCAATTGAATTGCTTGAACTCAACTTGCAACATTTGTAGGATTTTTTTTATCCTTCATGTGTTTGCACAGAACATTTTGTTGGATGACAGTTATGTGTAGAAAATAACTGCTGGTAGTTATGTATTAGGAGTGTAAATCTAGTTATAAGTTGTGTAATTAGGCAGTGTGAAGTTATTTGTTGTTTGTTATTATGTGATAGGAGACTTTTGTCTCTAGGGCAGCAAGTTTGTTGTTTTATTGTGTGGTTAGTGTTCAATAGTTCTTTTTTTGTTACTTTTATCAATTTTTGTTCTTTATACAATTGCATGAACTCAACTTGCAACATCTGTAGGACTTTTCTTATTGAAATCTCCTTCACGTGTTTGAACTGAACAATTAGCTTTCCTATTTCCTGCCTTGAACTTTGATCACCTATGACCTAACTATTTCAGGTCAAGGAGAAGGGAGGTTATATCTTCCAATATAATTATTTCAATAGAATTGATATTTGTCAGTGTTGAGTATGCTTTAGTTAACTCTCAAATCTGTCCTAAAATTGATGATAGATTTTCTTGTTCAATGAGAACGTTCCCTCTTCCCAAGTTTCACAGAATAATAAATCATATTCCTCTTGTATACAGGCAATGATGAAAGATCAATTTGCAAATTACGTTGTACAAAAAGTGCTGGAAACTTGTGATGATCAACAACGCGAGCTGATTCTTTCACGGATTAAGGTTCATTTGAATGCATTGAAAAAGTACACCTATGGAAAGCACATTGTTGCACGTGTAGAAAAACTCGTTGCTGCTGGAGGTACTTACTCCTTCCATGTCATTATTCCTCAGTTGCATTTTCACATATTTCAGCATGCTTGTGCGCACGTTAGGAGCACTTTCATATGAAAGAATGCTCCCTACATAATAATTGCATCTATGAGAAACACAAGATAAATACTTCTGACGGTACATCTAATTTTTTTGCAGAAAGGAGAATTGCTGCTCAGTCTCCTCAACCTGCTTAGGTAGGTGGCTTAGAAAAATAGTCTTTGTACAGCTAACTGAGGCTAGTATGAGCTGCTGCTTCTCTTTATCTCTCAAATCAAGAGGGTTATGTTTGTGTATCGGTGAAAATGGGTAGTAGCCAATTGGAAATGAAGTTATCAGTTGTATTGCAGAACTGTACATTTTGTAGCTTTAAGTTTATACAAAGAATTTAAGTGAGATGTGGCTCAGATGTTTTAATGCAGCTGATGTCCCTATTGAGGAGATAAAATGCCTATACAAGCCTTTTTATGGTGTAAAGATTATAAAATGGTGAGGTAGTTTGTAAGTTGACGTGACTGTACAAAAATGATGGCATGTGGAGAGCTGTTCTTGTTTAGACAAGGGCAGTTTTTTCTTCTCTCTTAATCATGTGTATGGTTATTGACTATGTTTTCCCTTTCAACAAATATAATTTTTGTTGCAAGTTTACATTCCCCTTTTCTCCTGTGATATCGATAAGTCCTCATTACCAAGATAAAATTTTAAGTGCAGCTTTTGTTTTCATTTGATGTAAAATTTTAATCTAAACTAGAGTTATGCTTCAATAATTGATGTTGATTTTTGCTGTGTTAAAATGAAATTGTAATTTTAAAACATTTAAGGTACTGTCTTTATGTTTTTGTTTTTAATGAAAATTAATCTGACTCCTCTGTATGACTTTGAGGTCAGATATTGAGTTTTTGACTTATTTATGAAAAACTATATAAAAAAAATTGAGAAACAAGTTTGTAAGTTACTATGGCTTTCTTTGAATTATCTTCCTCAAGCCAACACTTCTCTACGTTTTATTTTGTTATTAGTTATGTAGACTTCAAGTGATAAACAGATACAAGGGAGATAAGCATGCCCAGTGATGCATTAGCATTCAATTTACAACTCTAGTAGTATTTTGTAATCTTGTGGCCTAAATCAAGAGAATTATTACAAGAGAAATTATTACATGATTCATATTTATAATGTATTTTATGATTCTAATCAATTTTATGCAAGTATTTGTGTAAAATTCTTTTCAATTTTCATGCAACATATAATTAAGATTTGTAGTTTAGAAAATAATTAACAATATTCAGTTACATATAAAAATAAGTTCAATCTATATTGATATTGGATCATAAATAGCTTTGTAGGAGAAATTACAAAGTACTTTAAACTTAAATGTTATTACTCAAGACATACTTTGAATATTGGTCTTTAGAGTCGGTTTTTATTTGTCTTTATAAATGGGTGTGTTATTAGTGAATATTCAATTGAGAAAGGTTCAGCTAGGGAGATCCCATACTCCCTTTTTGTTTTTAATTGTTGCTTAAGGATATGGTGGATTGGTGAAGGAGACAATGAATTTGAAAAGGAGACAATGAATTTGAAATAGTTGTTTGGTATACTTGTGGGTAAGTATAATTTGCAAGTGTAATTTACATGTCTATCTTCAACAGTTTGTAGATGATATCCTTCTCTTTTAGGAGTCTAAATTTGAAAATGTAATTGTTGTAAAAATAGTTTTAAGTTGGTTTGAAATTTCAACAAGTCTTCAAGTAAATTTTCGGTTAATTTTGCTAGACTATTGAATAGTGGTCATCTTCATGTTCTCATTGTTCACCTCGAGGTACCTTTTTAAGTAAATGCACATAAAGAAGAAGTTTGGAATCTTGTTTTAGTGAATATGTGAAAGAAACTCTCGCTTTGGAAGCAAAATAATTTATTTATTGGGGGTAAAGTGAGTCTAATAAATTCAACCCTATTTTCAATTCCTCTCTTTTTCTTATCATTTTACAGGTTACCTAAAGGAATGATAAGAAAATTTGTCAAAATTCAACTAGACTTTTGTGGGGTTCTACAGTTGTCGATAGACTTGTAACTTGGATCAAATGAGATCAAGTCTATAGAAGCAAGGATTTTGGTGGACTTGGAATTCAAAATATATCTAAATTCAAAATTGCATTCATAGCAAAATGGAGGTGGAGATCTTTAAATGAAGGTAATGCCATAAAGGTTAAAATCTTAAATCAAAATATGGTTCTCTGCACTTGCCATGTAGCTTATGTGGAAGGACTAAGCTATTCCAGTGGTGATATGATGTGATTAACTTAACTAATGAAAATTTTGAAAATGATTGGTTAAGTAGGCAATTGTCTTGTTCTTTAGGCAAGAAGATGTTTAGATTCTGAGAGGATAAATGGTTTTCTGTTGGTATTCTAAAATTAAGGCATCAAAGATTGTTTTCCTTATGTCTAGAGGATAAAGGTATTAGTTGCAGATACGGGAAAATGGGAAAGTTCTGATTGGACTTGGAGCATACCATGGAGAAGGAATTTGTTAGAAAGAGAAGTTGAATTGATTGATTTGTTGATTGTTGATATTACTTAAAATAGACCAAAAATTGATAGGATTAATAAGTGGGTGTGATGAGGTGATGATGTGAGTTGCTACTCAATGAAACACGATTATTCTTTATGCAAAATATCCATAATGAATTTGGTATTGATGCAATTAAATTGTTATGAAAGATTAGAGTTTTCTCAAAAATGTTAATTTTTGTTTGACGTGTTTTCCTTAATCATATTTAAACTCATAATCAATTGTTTTATCATAGGATTTTAATAGATGTTGTCGATCTTGCTTGTCCATTTTGTACTTTGGAGCTTGAGACAATTGAGCACTTATTATTTGGATGCCCATTTTCATATCATGTATGGCAAAAATGCTATCATTGATGGATTTGTATTCTACGCTACTTCTAAATAGTATGACACTTGCTACAACATATTGGAATCATAAGAGGTAACAAGTTGTAGAAAATTTCATTATTGATTTGGTGCTTTGTCTTGTGGTCATTGTAGCTGCATAGAAATCAATCAATCTTTTAAAAATACTAGTCCATGTATTGAGAATATATTCAAGGATGTGAAGCAAAAATCTTGAGGTTGCATAAAAACAAAAGTTACAAGAGCCAAGAATGAACAATTTGTCTTGTGCTTGGAAGAACTACAATAATTCTTACTTTTTCGGTCTATTTAGTTTGATGTTGCATTTGTATTTTTGGATTTGAACATTTTGTTTTTGTTTCTTGTTATTGGAAATCATATCATTAGTAGTATCATATTAATAAATTGTTCTTTGTTTTAAAAAAAAAAACATAAAAAGTTCATTACAATTTAAATATTATTCAAATATGTTGATAAAATATATTGATCAAAGTTAATATTGTTTAAATTATATATATATATATATATATAGCATCAGTAGTCAACATAAAGGTGGCCAACTTCACCTTCTAAGCGAGGGACAATCCATGACATTGAAGATCTTCTCGATCTCTGTTAGCCAATTCATAGCAGCATCTGGGTCATATCCTCCTTTAAAGGTAGGTGGGTGATTTCGCTAAAATTTCTCCAGCCAGTTAAGAGCAACTCCAGCCCTATTGTTATTATTCATAGCTTGTGCTAATGCTTGAAGAGCATCAACAATCACACGATCATTTCTACCAGCCATAATCTAAGAAAATAATACAATTAATAGATATAATCAATCATCACACTAGCATACCAACAAGTTCCACAATCAATTCAGTCCATCATTCATCTACCAAATAAGCATAGTAAACTCATAAGTCACGGTCGATTCGATCGACCCGCTCTGATACCACTAAATGTGACATAATAATTTTTTTTTCTTTTGAGTAAATAAAATCTTTCATAGTTGACAACATCTTTCATGGATAAAACAATTGTCTCAAATATCATAAGGAAGAAGATTCACATTCGTAACTCATAAATCATAAAAAGTCAACATGTAAGTATCAAAAATTCAAAAACTTACAAAAGAAAAGAAAACTAAGGCTTTTAAAATAATAACATCCTAAACTAAGCCTAGCTATGCCCGATGTGACATCTTATCAGAGCATGCCTAACTGAAGCCTTAAGCCTCATCACCAACATCCTCATGATGATGATCACCTGCAACATAATTTAAACATATACATGAACAACAAGGGAGTGAGAAACATCTCACTCAGTTTCAGGTGCAAAATTAAAGGTTAGATAGCACACACAACAATCATAAGTCATAAACACTAATCACATATAAACAATACCCATACATGATCAGTATTTCGCGAATGCCGAAAGCCCGTTTCGGGCCAGTGGCGACAGTACTAAATTTTATAGTTTAAATGGTAACATTCGATAAACTATGTTGTGTTGTGAATTAATACCCAAATTTGTTATTGATTTGACAAACGCAAAAAAATCACAATGTGTTGATGGTTCGGTAAGATAAAGTCACTTAAAATACTCACCCTATTTTGTAGGTGGTCTCCTAGTAGAAATGTGTGATGACACATACAGTTTTTGTGTTGTGCATATGATATGTTGATTTAATTGTGTTGTTCATATGCAATGTTGAGCCGTGAAGAAATATGTTGATGTGTTGAAATTTGAGTCGTTGACGTTGTGTTGTTTAAGTTGACATTATGTTGTAGTTGAATGCATTATGGAGTTTGATGTTGGTTAAAGAAATAAGACATGATGATGTACTATGCTACTTATATTTCTTGTTGTATATGTTGTTTCTTTGAACTCTAACTTATCATTGGGTGTTTCATTGTTGTATGAGAGTAAGGTAGGAATATGTGTGAGGTGTTGTACCGAGGTGGCTATCGAGAGGATGGTGATGTTCATTTTTTGATGCCACTATTGTGTAGTATTATGTATACGAGTTGATTGACCAACAACTTAAGTTATATAATTTACTTCTATTGGATTGTAGTATCTATATCGCGTATATTTATATAATCGTTTTATCTTTATATGCATGATTTTTAATACACATTCACATATTTATATGTATACAACTCTAAATTATTAGTTATTTTTTTGCTACTAATTATTATGTTGTTAAATATATGTATCAAAACGAATTGTTACAATTATATTGCAGAGAACATTTGTATGTGTTTCTTCTTCAAAAAGAAGAATTTTTAGATTTTTTTAACTTTTATCTAATTTAATTTTTATTTATTATATTTATTTATTAATTAAATTTTAATATTTTAAAATAAATTATTAATAATTAAAAATAATCTAGTACTACAATAAACATTTAACATTTACATATGCGTGTAGTATTAATGAAAATTGGGATTTCGTTAGTGATCATAGTAGATTGTGTTAGGTTACTTTATGAAATTATATATACTTATAACAAAGAAATTATAAGTAATTTAGTTAATATTATAAAAAAATTATTTTGACTATCCTTCACTATTGTAATTCCTAAAATTAATATGATTAATCAATTTTGTTTTTAATATTGCAAAATCAATCAATTTAATTTTAAATTTGACAACTTTTCAATTAATTTCTAAATTTAACAATTATAAATCATTTTTTTAATATTATTAGGCATTAAATTGATTGACACACAATAAATCAAAAATTAAATTCAACATTGACTACTATACATAATAAAATCAAAGTCAAATTAATTTTTTTTATCAAAATCAAAGGCAACATTTAATATTGGTTGAAACAGATGGTAATGACTTTGTGTCCTTTAATAGGTGTTCAAATTCTGACTTTAGATATGAAATAGATTATATTGGGAGAAGAGTATTCATTTTGTGTGCATTCACACTAAGAGAATACTTATTTTATGTGAGCTCACGGTCCCGACAGAAATTATTCATACTAATACATAATTACTATAAAAAAAATAAAAAGATAAATAATTAGTGAGATAATGATTAATTTTTTTTATAATTATTATTTTGGTCAAAGTTAATGCTATAAAGATATTTTATCTTCATTCATTGTAGGTGAGCTAATTAATTTTTATCCTATTAATTTAACGGGAGAATTTGATTCACTTGATGTTTTTAGTTTCTAATAATCTGAAATCGAATATGTTTTTCATATTTAGTTTTTTTAAGATGGTTTTTTTCCCACAAATTTCTCACAAAATCATCTTATGAAAAAGGTGGATTTTTTTTTATAAATGAATTAAAAAAAGGCTTTTGCTTTATTAATTTAATATGATAAAAAATTGATTTTCAAGTAACGTATATTAATATTCTCAAAAATTATTTATGATCAATTTAATCTAACGTATTTAATATGTTCGTCATTAAACTTTTAATTTCATTATAATACTTTTATTAAAATTAATTTCAAAGGTCCAACCTATAAGTATATTTAGCCATTTAGGGTTCCTTCGTTTATTTTTTCCTATAAACATTTTTAATAAAATAAATTATTTTCTACTTTTTCTTACATAACTACTTTTAAAAAAACATTTTAAAAATATTTTTTTTTAATTTTAAACAAACTAACCCTTAATTACTACACATGCTTAAACTATTTAGTTCCAAATATTTAATCATTGGGAGATTTTCTCGAAAGAGATGTCACCTAATGAGAACTAGTAATAAAATGCACAATTTGGATGAGAAATTTTTAAAAAAATATATTTTATTTAAATTTTCCATCCACCTTAACTTTCAGGTTTTCATAATAAAATGAAAACTAATTTGTGAAAGTACATTTATATTTTCTTTTCCCTTTTCAAGTTTTAATAATCCACGAGATGTTTGCATTAAAATAATATTGCGTAGAACCAAGCATTCATTAAATAGTCCGCGAGATGTTTACATCAAAAGAAAAAATCAACGACATGAAAAATGTATGCGAACTTAAAAAGAAAGAAAGAGTGAAGGAACAGTATGTATAAACTATTATACGAATTAAGATACTTCGTATCTTTAATAAATAAACACAAATAAATATTAAAAATTATGAATAATTATTTAAAGAAAATATAAATTATTTTTTTTAACATTTAAAAGATTAATGATTTATTAAAAGATGAAAATCAAAATACGTGATTACTAAAAATATATCCCTTTATAAATATAGATTACTCTCTATAACAAAATATTATACTTTAAATTTTTAAGAATCCACGTGATTCAAACTACGTTGAAACTCTGAAATACAAAATATAACTATTAATAAGAATCAATCACACGGATTATCACCTTAATCATATCGTTGAAAATTGCTTAGTTAATTGTAACTAAAACACGACCAGAAGAACGACCATTATTAAACTTTAAATTAACATCAATACTTATTTATTTTTGTTGTAATGAAATTATAGATGAGGTTTGGTAGTATAACCACCACTAAACGTACTCGTTTTTTGCGGTCAATGATGACGTCCCACTCGTTTTGTTGCAGCATACTTAAAATCATTCATTTTCATACCAAAAAAACTTTTATATTAAACTTAAAATCATTAATTTAAATTGACGAATAATTATAAAATCATTTTATACATTGATTTGAATTAATAAAATTAAGTATCAAATAATTTTCAAATTTTTATAAAATTTGCCATCGAAGTTCTCAGTCCCTTCTTTTCTCTTACTTTCTCTCTGTTTTGACTCATGGTTTTTTCCAAGAAATTCATTCCAGGATTCAGTTCATGCTTCTACATCAGTTACATTTTTTAACCTAATTTCAGTGAAGCATGAACAGGTAGATTATTTACACCCGATAATATTAAAGGATTTAATATACCTCACAGTATTGAAGTGGAGTATATGTTGATTTTGTTCTTGCGATCTTGCAATATCTTTGAATGTATGACATTTTCAAATTATTATTTGTTTGCCTCTGCATGTTGAAAGTTTTCTGTGGCAATATTTATTTTACTTGCTACTGTCAATTCTTGACGATTCTGTAGTGAATTTAGCATATGTTTTCTTTGATCTTTTTGTTGGATTTCTTTATTTTCATATCCATTTTCTTCTTCCCATTATTTACAAGCAGTAATTGTGCAGGATGATTTGGGGCGTAATACTTCTGTGACAGGTCTTCCTTCTCGTCCATCTAGTCGTAATGCATTTGATGAAAATGATATCATAGGTTCTGCTGAAGCAGATATGGCCCATGTACGCCGTGAGTCTGCAGCCACTGATGCTTTAAGATCAGGATCAAATGTTCAAGGATCATCTGCCGCCCAAAATATTGGCCAGTCAGCTTCTTATTCTTATGCTGCTGCTCTAGGATCTTCCTTGTCGAGAAGCACTACTCCTGATCCACAACTTGTTGCTAGGGCTCCCAGTCCCTGCATCACACCCATTGGTGGTGGCAGAGCCATTGCTTCTGACAAAAGAGGTATTGCCAGTACAGATGCATTTAATGGTGTTTCATCTGGCATCAACGAGTCAGCAGATCTTGTGGCTGCATTGTCAGGGATGAACTTGTCAGCAGATGATGTGTTAGATGGTGAAAACCATTTGCCATCACAGGTTGAATCGGATGTTGATAATCACCAAAGATATCTTTTTGGTAGGCAAGGTGGTCAAGATCATGGTAAACAACATGCTTATTTAAAGAAGTCTGAATCAGCGCACATGCAAAATTCAGGTAAGATTAGGAGTGGGTCAGATCTCAACAATCCATCCTTTGATCGGCAGGCTGAGCTACAAAAGTCTGCTGTTTCTTCCAATAACTCATATTTCAAAGGATCGCCTACCTCCCATTTTAGTAGAGGAGGTAGTTCGCCGCCTCAGTACCAGCCTTTAGATGGTACAAATTCATCATTTACTAACTATGGTCTGAGTGGGTATGCCGGAAATCCGGCATTGGCATCCTTGATGACTAACCAACTTGGCAGCGGTAATCTACCGCCCTTGTTTGAAAATGTTGCTGCAGCATCAGCAATGGGGGCCCCTGGAATGGACTCAAGAATTATTGGAGGTGGTTTGGCATCTGGAGGTGCTGCTTCATCTGATGTGCATAATCTTGGTAGGATGGGAAATCAAATTCCTGGCAGTGCTCTCCAGGCCTCTTTTGTTGATCCAATGTATCTTCAATACCTGAGGACATCTGAATATGCTGCAGCACAACTTGGTGCTCTTAATGACCCCTCTGTGGACAGGAACTACTTGGGGAATTCATACATGAATATACTTGAGCTTCAGAAAGCTTATCTAGGGTCTATTCTCTCTCCTCAGAAATCCCAATACAATGTATCACTGGGTGGAAAATCAGGCAGCTCCACTCCTCAGGGTTATTATGGAAATCCTGCATATGGTGTTGGGTTGTCTTATCCAGGAAGTCCAATGGCAAACTCTGTTTTATCCACTTCTCCAGTTGGGTCTGGAAGTCCTGTTAGGCACAATGAACTAAATATGCGTTTTGCTTCGGGAATGAGGAATTTAGCTGGGGTCATGGGACCTTGGCATGTAGATAATGGGAACATTGATGAAAGTTTTGCTTCTTCTCTGTTGGAAGAGTTTAAAAGCAATAAAACTAAGTGTTTTGAGCTCTCTGAAATTGCTGGTCATGTTGTTGAGTTCAGGTATGCTTTTTGCTATTGGTCACTATATGCTGCCACCCTGAAGAATTAAATATGATTAATAAATTATCATTGGCAGTGCGGATCAATATGGGAGCCGATTTATTCAGCAAAAGCTTGAAACAGCTACTACAGAAGAAAAAAACATGGTTTATCAGGAAATCATGCCACATGCGCTTGCTTTGATGACTGATGTCTTTGGTAATTATGTGGTTCAAAAGGTAATCGTTTCTATTTCAATTAATTATTATTTTTTCATTAATCTTGTTTGAGCAATAGTTGTAATTGTATATTGCAGTTTTTTGAGCATGGACTTGCATCCCAAAGGAGAGAATTAGCCAACAAACTTCTTGGCCATGTTCTGACACTTAGCCTTCAAATGTATGGTTGCCGGGTCATCCAGAAGGTATTGACAATATAATATGGCAGTAGTTGATAATGATATGGATGTGTTAGGCTCTATCTGTAATTTTCTGGATATCTTATCATTTTTCTTTTGATCTTGCAATTATGTATCTCTCTCTAGGCCATCGAAGTTGTTGATTTGGATCAGAAGATAGAGATGGTTCAAGAGCTTGATGGTAATGTAATGCGCTGTGTACGTGATCAGAATGGTAATCATGTCATTCAGAAGTGTATTGAATGTGTCACTGAAGATGCAATACACTTTATTGTGTCAACATTTTTCGATCAAGTTGTGACACTCTCAACCCATCCATATGGTTGTCGGGTGATACAGGTAAGTTTCTTCTCTGCGTATGTTACTCTTATTATGTACTTAAGATCATTTGTCATATAATAATAACCTTCTATGTGACAGAGGGTATTGGAGCACTGCAAAGATCCTATAACTCAGCAGAAAGTTATGGATGAGATTTTAGGAGCAGTTAGCATGTTAGCTCAAGATCAGTATGGCAACTACGTTGTTCAGGTTTATATTTTTCTCTGATGGGTTTGTTTCTTATTGTCTAGTAGTGGAAGTATGTTTTTATGGTTCTAATGTTTTGTTTGGTTTGAACATGATATGCATTCTTGTTTGCAAGTCTTCTGCTTTCACGATATATAACATATATATATATATATATATATATATATATATTACCTACATATCTTTTTGCATGCAATTTTGAAGCTTCTATCAACTTCTTACTCTTCATTCGTTAATATTGGTTCAAATTTCTTAAATTCATATGTGATAAGATAATGAAAAGATAGGAGAAAATGTATATATTTTCCTAATGTCATATCCTGTCAATATAACGTCCAATCTTCATTTCCAACCTCATCATTATCATAATTAGTTTCACCCACAATCATACACCTAAGTAAACAACAAAAGAAAATGAAGGGCAAAATATCTCACTGTGACTACAGATGTAAGTTATGCTTGAGTAGATACACACAAATAAAATTAATATACATTTTCAATAAATATTAATAATATATATACCATTCAAAACCTACATTTCAACATTTGTCACATTCACATTTCACATTCAACCAATATACAATTATTATGTTATGACAATACAATGGACAAGACTTCTCTAGACTATATGCATGTGACGTTAGTAAAATCGATTGCCAATTGTTAATTGTTGCACGAAGGTCAAATAAGAATAGCCTTGGAGAACATGGTCGGTCATAGTCATCACAACACTTTAAACTAAGAGGATATACATCAACACACGTCAAGATAGCAATGTTGGCCACATTACACCCCATGTACATAACGGGTGGAATTGGGGTTCCCAAATTTGATTATCCTCAAGGTCATGAATCTCCAAACTTTTACACAAGAGGATTTTCCTTGATAATTTATTTTGCACTATACCTATCACAAAAATCAACCGATTCATATGATGCATGTCATAAAGGACTCTTATACAATTCATGTTCATACATTCATCAACTAAAACTCATAAATATATCTATCGATTGTATCATTGATTAATCTAAACACTGCACTAATTACAACTGGTTAGGCAATCTCACTTAGACCTTCACATGAATCACCACATGTTTCTCGAATACAACATATCACATGTCTCACCATGTCATTAAGGGTTACTTAACTAATACATACATTTATTACAACAATAATCCAATACAACATTTATAATTAAATAACATAGTGTATTTAACACTTTCAAAACTCCTTACTCACAAGTTTACCAATTTTGGAGGAATAGGGCGATGTCCTATGTAGGGCACCCTATGCCCAACACAATCTAGGTTGAGAGTATTCTACACTTTCTAAAAGGGTCACACTCGACGCAATCCTCCCATGCCTAACAAATTCACAATAGAGAGCCCTTGGAGCTCCCAAACCTGAAGTAAACATTATAGAGAACAATTCATGCCTTTTGTCATGCTTGCGCCCAACGACCACTCATGACATCCAATGCGACATTAGTTCCTACGCTTCCGTAAAAATTATGACTTTTGTACGCTTTCAACCAACTTATAAATTTTCAAAATTTCAATCAGTAACAGGGTACATAAACATGAATAATCAATTCTAACCCATCAATCTTTCATACTCATATACAATACTCCTAATAATTTGTTTTGTTCCATTCTTAGGATTCTCTCGAGAACCCATAGACACTCATAAATTAAAAATAAAAACAATTGTGTAGATTATAAACATGACTACTATCAATTATCACAACTATATATTATTAAATGTAGAATAGTCTATTTAAAAAAAAATTATTGTTCAAAACTACATAATCAGGGCCCACTTCTCTATAGAACGTTTCCACCTTTGAAAATTCAATTTTTTCCTATTAATTGTAAAACACGTTTATTGACATTTAATAAATGTAACAACACTAATTCCAATTAAGAATATCAACTTCTTCATATTGACTTTATGTGAATTGTGCTATTAATAGTTATAAAATTTCTCATCTTTATATTATTTAATTATCATCCTACACTACATTCATTGTAACATCCCAAATTTTTCTAAAAAAATTAATATATAGATATAGATAACATAATGAGAAGAAGAAAAAAAATGTATCTTCCATCTTCCTATCAATGAATGTAGGATGAGAATTGAATAATGGAGGTGAGAAATTTAACACCTATTAATAGTGCAATTCACATAAAGTCAAAATGAATTTGATGTGCTAATTGACATTAGTGTCATTAAATTTATTAAATGCTAATAAAAAAAATTTGCAATAGGAAACATTTGAATTTTAAAAGATTGAAAAATTCTAGAAAAAGTGGATTCGAACTATATAATTTTGAGTGAAAAACTTTTAGCAGATTATTCTACCTATAGAAATATATAGGTATAGATGTAGATTTTGAGACTATCATTTCTATATAAAAATTTAGATTATTATTGTCCTTATTTTATTTTTTTTTTCATATTTTTTCTTACGTTTATAAAAATTATAAATATGTTTTTAGTCTTAGTATAACGAACACTTCTAATTTTGGTTAAAAAGTAGTCTCTTGGATACAATAACGGACACTTCTCTCTATAAGGAAGCAAGACAAAGACATATAATGTAAGCCTTTAAGAGATACTAAAGAATTTATAACAATTATCTTCGCGAAGTACTTATATTAAGTTGTTTAAAGACTTAGAAAAAAAAAGTAAAGAACACTTATTGTAAAAAAACATATTCATTCTTTCAGTAAAAAGCTTTGCACTTGACTAAGTTGTATTGCGTCTTGAAAGTAAGACGAAATTACAAGTGATTTCTCAACTTTAACTGTGTTATTACTTCAAGTTTGAAGATTTTGTTGTAAACAATATTTAGTAGTTGAAGTTTGGAGAGACTTTGAAGGTTTTCTTAACCAAACATAATTTAACAATTTTTAATAATCATGAATTTGAGATTTGTACTTCTTAGGAATCATAATTCATGGGTATGAAAAAACTTTTCCCCTACCAAATGTCCTCTTGAGGTTTTTGATTGATATTATTCGATCTTCCTACTTGTATCTTTCTTTTTTCCACACACATATAAACTAGTTTATTTAATTTTAATTGTTTAATTATAATTTTTTAAAAATGACATAAATATTTAAAAATACATTTTTGAGTATTTATAATTTTAGATTTTTAACATATTTTAAACTCTTGCAGTTTTTTTGTTTGCAGATTAAATACTTTGATTATATATATTTTTTAGGTTTTAATTATTATATTTTTCCGTATTATATATTATATTATTAACTTTATACTATATATTAAATTATTTCTAATCAAATTTAAAAGAAAATAATATACACATAAGTAGATGTTATACTTCATTATATTACTTAGTGTAATGGTTAAAATATAATTGAAAATCTTCCAACTTGTATCTTTCCTTTTTCCACACACATATAAGCTAGTTTATTTAATTTTAATTGTTTAATTATAATTTTTTAAAAATGACATAAATATTTAAAAATACATTTTTTAGTATTTATAATTTTAGATTTTTAACATATTTTAAACTCTTGCAGTTTTTTTGTTTGCAGATTAAATACTTTGATTATATATTTTTTTATAGTTTTAATTATTATATTTTGCCGTATTATATATTATATTATTAACTTTATACTATATATTAAATTATTTCTAATCAAATTTAAAAGAAAATAATATACACATAAGTAGATGTTATACTTTCATTATATTACTTAGTGTAATGGTTAAAATATATTGAATCACAATATTAGCAACAATAAAAAAAATGTAAAAAAAAGTAATGATTAAAATGAACAGTATAATGTAAAAAAATGATCAAAATTTATGAAAAGAATAAAATAAAATAATCTTAACATCTATCAATATTAATATTTTAAATATAATGCTGAATTGAAAACATAAATAGTATAATGGTTAAAATAAATAGTGTAATATAAAATATGGGAAAAATTGTGATAAAAAATAATAAATTTATAATTTATCATTATCGTTGTTTAATATAATAAAAGGGTTAAAATAAGAAAATTCTTATTTTTGCAAAAAAAAAAAAAAGAGTTAAAAGATAATAAAACTTATGAGTAGAAAAAGGAGAAAGAAATATAATAAAATTATCTTATATAGATAAAAAAAATATTTTCAGAATAAAATTTGTAAACAAAAATAAAAAAACACTTGAAGTAGTATTTCAAAAATCATTACAAATTTTTTAACTAATTAAAAAAAAAGAAATTGGGTATTTCTATGCTGGTATTTTTTTTTTTGTTATTTCTACTTAATTTAATAAAAGTTTTAAAAAATAATTGTCCACAAGTAGCTAAGAGTATAGACTACTGTGCTTTAAAAGGGTTAAATCTTTTTATTTAAAATTTTAATTTTATATATTGAACAATATTTATCAAACTGTCCAAAAATTACTAATAACTACTAAAAAAGGATTTTTTCAAATTACAAAAATTAAAGATCAATTTTGAATTCAAGAGATTAAAATTAAACTTATATTAAATTTGAGAGTTAAAAATATTTAAACCTACAATATAAGTATTTCTTTTTTTATCAAAAAGTCATCTTTCAAGTAATATTAGACTTAATTCCCTTAAATAAAGTCTGAAAACATAATTGAGAGAATGTCTATAAAAGGTGGTAAGTGGTTAACCAAGTTCCTAATAGAGAATAACACAACTAATAGATATTTTATACCAAGAATATAGTTATTAAAAGAAAAGAAAATAAATAACTAACTCATAAGCTAGAAACTAAAAGGTTGAAACTTAATTAATGTAAATAAAATTTATTTATTTATTAATGAGAGTGAAAATAATATGTAAACAAAATGGTTTCTAGATTAACAGAAAATATAATATAAAAAAATATTTCAAGTAAACTTTTATAAACTAATTAAATAAAATTTTAAAAATAAACTAATAGATTCTCTTCCTAAATAAACTTATTTTGATAAATTAACTATGCGGGAACCACCTGGGGCTCTAAAGGTGAAGAACCACCTACATTACTGCTTTCTGCAACCTTTTCCTCTTCCTCCTGAAAACCTAGCTTATATCTATCATAATTGGTGGTTTCACTAGACTTGAATGGCCTTTCGCCCAAAATTCGAACCAAGTCGTCTTGGTGAAGCACTTCTTTTTCAAGCAGCAACTCTGCAATTTGAGTAACTTGCTCCTTGTGTTCTTCAATAATCTGTACCGTACGTTCGTATGCTTTCTTCACCCAATCACGCACTTCCTCATCGATGATTGTCGCAGTTGTGCTGCTGTATGGTCTGCTCCCAAATTGATCCTCCTGAGGGAAAGAGAGGAGCCCCACTTTTTCACTGAAACCATAAACTGCTACTTGGTTATATGTCATCTTGGTCACTTTTTCCAAGTCATTTTGTGCTCCTGTTGAGATTCTCCCTATAAGAATCTGCAGTAACAACGGAGGAAATTGGAAAAACATCATTTTCTTGTCTTTGAAGTTACGGAAGCATCAAATACCAGATAACCAAAAAGCCATTAAACAACATCAAAATGCAGTAATAAAATTTAGACTTTAATATGTTTTTAGTTTTTTAAATGAGGCAAGTTTGATTTTGATTCCTCAAATTTTAAATTGATTTTTTTATTCTATGTAATTTGAAAAAATCACATTTTAGTCCTTTCGTTCAAATGTTGTTAGTGAATTTTGTTGAGATTCATGAATGGTGAATAAGTTCTGAAGTGTTTTGATGATAACAAAGATCATGAATGAACAAAGGAGAAGACCATGAATGAATATCAAATGTAATAGGAGTAGTTTATGTGTTATGTTGCTTTGTTAGTCAATTTTATTTTTTATGTATGTTTATGTTTGTGTATGCTTTGTGCATAAATCAAATCTTAATTCTAATTGTCTAAAAATAAGTATGATGATGATTGAGAATAACTTTAAGAGTTTTTAGACGTGTGAAATCAAATTTTGAGAACTCAAAATAATCAATTATTACCAATTATAATCGATTATTTTTGTTTTGTTTTTCAATAGTTGAAAAACCTTGCTATAATAATCAATTATCTGTGAAATAATCGATAATCCGTGAAATAATCGATTATCTCATAATGTGCTTTTTGGAATAATCGATTATCCTACAAAATAATCAATTATTCTATTCTTGAGTGATTTTCAGAAATCATAAAGAACAAAATAATCGATTATCCTTAAAAATAATCGATTATCTAAGTCTGAAAACTTTATAAAAATGGTTCATTCAAAATCTTAAGCAAGTCATATTGTGCAAAATTTATGATATACTTTTGATCTTTGTAATCTTCTTAGAGAATTTTCTTTGTGAAGCCAAGAAGTAAAACACGGTGTAAAATGTTTTGAAAAAATTCATCATCATCACTACATTCTTGGAGAGAATGACTAAGATTTGTCAAAAATTCACTATTTGATTTGTTCAAACTTTTAGGTGAATTCGTTCCTTAAATCTTTTTGTGTAATATGGTAAGAATCTTGAGTAGGTTTCTCAAGTCATAAGAAGTTCTTGTAGTAAGTTTCTACAATAAGTACTTTCTTGGGTGCAAGAAATGGTCTATCTTGTGTGTTGAAGTGTTTGCATGTTTGGTGTGTTTGTAAAACTTTTTCATTGAGATGGTGGAACAAATCTTAATCAGGTTATATGCTTGAAGATTGGATGTAGGTTACATACAGGATAAATAACTTTGCATTCTTCTCTCATCCTTATCTTTTACATTTAACAATCTTTAATTGACTATCAAAATGGCTGTTTATGATTAGTATTCTTGTACGATTAAAATGGTTTAAATTGGAATATAAGCACTGCATGCTAACTTAGTCATAAACTTAATCATTAAAGATTAGTGAAACAAGCATATAGGAGTTTATCCCATATACTAAAAGATTTAATATACTTCATTGAAAATTGATTTTAAAAAAGTTTTAGAAATTAAGATCCTAATCTCTGATAATTTTTTTTGAAGTGTCAATAAATCCAATTCACCCCCCCTTGGATTAAGCCATTTTTTTCTATCAAATTTGTCAAACACAAATCACTCATTACTTAATCTGTCACATAATCCACTTATTAGTGTCATTAATAGTGAAAACATCATATTAAACTTTTGATAATGCACAATTTACTCAATCTGACATTTTTTGCTATGTTGTTAATGATCCTCCAAAGGAACTAAAATATGTTTTTCTGAAATTACAAAATTAAAAAATCAATTTTAAATTTAAATGACCAAAAATAAATATAGTCCAAATTTGAAGGACTAAAATCGTAATTAAGCCTAAGATTTACAGCTGAATAGCATTAGTGCACCAAGACATTCAGTTCATTCAATAGAAATAGCCATACAACAAAAAAAATGAGAGAAAAAAAGGAATACAATAAAATGAAACGTTGAAACTACCTGCTCAGCAGCTCGACCACCTAGTGTCATACAAGTCATATCAAAAAGCTGCTCCTTTGTCAGGAGAAGGTTCTCATTCGGAACATATTGGGCAAATCCAAGAGCTGTTGTGCCACGTGGAACAATAGTTACTTTCAACAAGGGCTCAGCGTGTTCCAAATACCAACCTACAACAGCATGGCCTGACTCATGGAAAGCAACAGTACGCCTTTCCACCTGGCTTATAACCTGGTTAAGAAACATAAATATCAGAAAAACTCTAACCAGTAACGGAAAGGGCAGAGTTCCAAATCTCAGTTAGTTCAACATTTTCAAGTCAATGTAGCATATCAGCTTCAACATCATGAAGTCTGAACTTAACAGTCTAAGATAAACTATTTCTGCAGTTTTGCAGATGGACTAAAGGATCCAAAGTACAACGGATGGTCCATTCGTACATAAAAATAAAAGGCATATAGATGGAAGCTCCAGCTTACATTATGTTGTTCAAATTCATTAAAGCCAACTTTGGCTGGATAGGTCTTGTGTGAAATATTTTACTTAAAAAGATAAGAAAAGCTTTTCCAAAGCCTATAAACAATAGTGGGATGCAAATCAAGGTACTTTCACTATTAAGAGAACCCTTAACCACATTTAATTCACCCTTTTGTCTCGTGTTCTAGAAATGTTCTTTTATTGGCATGTTTATCACACAAACTAATAAAATATATAGGATTATAAATGTAATTGAATATTAACTAATTACATCTAAAAAGAAAAATATTTTATAAAACTGAACTGGTGAACCCTCAATTTTTTTCCTTCACTTTCCTTGTCCTATTACATATCCACCAAAACTTATGAGCAAAGGAAAATGTTTTGATTCTCTAGTTGAAACATATCAATATTGTGTATAATATAAAAAGACATACCGAGTTCTTCTTTTCCAAACCACCAATGATCCTATCAATAGCTGACTCAAAATGTTCCATTGTGACTAGTGATCTATCACCTCTTGCCGCAATCAGAGCAGCTTCATTGCAGACATTTGCAATGTCTGCTCCAGCAAATCCAGGTGTGAGGGATGCAAGCCTTTGAGAATAATATGAAGGCTCACGGTCAAGTTTGATCTTCTTCAAATAGATCTGAAATATTTGGTCACGTCCTTTAATATCAGGTTTATCAATTGCTATCTGGCGGTCAAATCGTCCAGGCCTAAGAAGAGCTTTATCTAAGATATCAGGTCTATTTGTTCCTGCCAACACAACAACCCCAGAGGTTGTTCCAAAACCATCCATCTCCACCAACAATTGATTTAAAGTACTTTCACGCTCATTATTTGCACCAGAAAAACCTCCGCGCCCCCTTGCTCGACCAATTGCATCAATCTCGTCAATGAATACGATACTCGGAGCACACTGCCTTGCTTCCTGAAATAGGTTTCTCACCCTAGATGGTCCAACCCCAACAAACATTTCCACGAAATCAGAACCAGATATAGAAAGAAATGGCACACCAGACTCCCCTGCAGTTGCTTTCGCTAAAAGGGTTTTCCCTGTGCCTGGAGGACCGGCCAAGAGAGCACCTTTCGGAATTTTTGCACCAAGTTCTTCATATTTCTTTGGGTTCTTGAGGAAGTGAACAAACTCCATAATTTCTTGCTTTGCCTCGTCACAGCCAGCAACATCTTTAAAAAAAATCTGAACAAATGAAAACAGATAAGTAGTCCCATAAATGAACTTATTGCTAAGTTACTCACCAGTGCTCCTCCCTTGAGGAAATAACTAAAACTGGAAAGATAACAATGGAAAATGGGGAACATGCTATTAAAATTAAAAACAAATAAACAAAACAGAAGCAATCTCATTTATAGAAGAAAAAGAAATTTGCTAACCTTGTTTTTGGCATGTTTGTCTACTTTAGTAACATGGGCTTTTCCTATGTTGAATATCCCACGAGCACCCTTACCACCGCTGCCGTCACCAACACCAAGTTCATGTTGCATTCTCCTTCCCATATACAATAGAGATCCCAAAAGCAACAGTGTTGGAGCAAATCTCATCAGTTCCTGGTACCAAACCATTTCAGAAGAATAGGTAACAGGCACAAAATCATGAGAGTCAATGCCTAGCGCTTCTTGGGCTTCCTCAAGCTTTTCCTCAAAAGACTCGACACTTCCAATATTGAAATAATATTTATACTGGCTTCCAGATCCTTTTGCAGGTATGGTCGCTTGGACTACTTCACTGTCTGTTTGATTACGGGGAGAGTTCCTTACATATACTTTAGCAACTGATTTATTTGTTACAACAATATGGTCTACTAATCCTGGTTCCAAAAGTTTGTTTTTAAACTCCTGAAAACTAATCTGCAAAGAATCAAATCGTTTTCCATGTCAGAAATATGATAACAAGGAAATGAGAGAAACCATAAAAACCAGACACAAATGAACAGGCTCCTCTTTGCCACAAGACCCGTGGTTGGATTCACATCCCAATTATAATGCAATGACACCCTCTTAACAAATAAGATATAGAAAAATATTAAGCATTGTTCAAAAACAAAGCTAGTTGAAGATTTGCAGCCAGATGCTAAAAAGCAACAAGGTATAAAAGAGTATCCTAATAGAACCCTTGTTTAACAGAGCTATAAATAAGGAGTCAATTGCAGCCGCATAAAGCTCATCTCAAACATACACAAACACTTTCAGTCATAACATCATAGTCAATCAGTAATTTTAGCCAAAGAAAATTTACTAACTAACAGGAGTTAAATTTCATCAATTACTAAAAAAAGACTTCAAAAAGAGGGCAGAGGTGTAAATCAGACAGACATGCACACACACAGGACAAGCAAGAAGAAAAGAAATCATAGAGTGATACCTAAGAAAGTACTAGAGGAAGGTCTCAGCAAATATAGTAGTATATTACACAATACAGAACTCATTCTTATTTCTCATAATCTCTCCTATATTTCCATTTCTCACCTTTCATCAAGAGAATCAAGACAAGTGTTGAGTCATACAGTACAAAAGTTCATTTCTCAAGCTATTTAAACCAATGTATTCATATTCATTGCATAAAATGCAGATATTCATATATTTAGTTCTGAACCCAACTTCACCCACATAAGCAAATTAAAACAAGGAGTGGCCCTGGTAATACATAGAAGTCATGCTTACCTGCTGCTGTTGGTGAGGACCAACAGAAAAGGATGCAATGAATAACCCCATTATCAATAATGGAGTGACTAGATTTTGAATTTGCTTCATGAAAGCTTCATTAAAATTTCCTTGTTCATCTGTGTTTGAGTTTGAGTTAAAAGTTGTCAGTTGTACCCCTTTAATAAACTGGAATGCAAATATATGATTAATTCTGTAACTAAAAAATACAGATCCTCAAGTAAATAATTGCAACCCACTTAGAGAGAGAGCATACTCTGGGATTGGAACTTATGTTCCAAACCCAAAATGCACAGTAAAGTTGTAACTAAAGTTTGAACTCAACAAAAAATAGAACCCTGTTCATGGACAAGAAGTATTGAATCCTACATGACTCACTATCTTCCCATCATAAAAAAAAGTTCACGCAATAAGAATAGTTAACATGTGCATAACATATAAATAACAAGAAAGATATCCCTCCCATTTACTCATTACACCAATTATGACCACCAAGTTCAACAATTTGCGATGACAGCTTCTTAATTCTGGAGACAACAGATACACAAGGGAATTTTATTCTACCTTTGGACTCGTGCTTTTTACCGTTTCCCTTTGGAATATCCTTCTTTTCCTTGGGATAAAAGTTCTCGTAATCTTCTGAAAACAAAGCAATAATAATCAGAAAGCTACCTGAAGAATAGCAAAACAAGCACACAACATCACCGAATAAAACTCACTCTTCTTCTTCGGGCTTTCGCTGGAAAACAACCGGCGAAACCTAGGGTTTGCGGCAACATATTTAAAATCAGGCAAGTTGGAAATGATGCCATTACTGCGAGCTCTAGCAGAAGCCACGTAGCCCCTAACAAAACCCAATACCATTTCCGCTTCATCGGAGTACGCATTCTTCCGCAACGCTCCGGCAAGGGTTCCGAATCTCCCATCACCGTGCAACAAATTCTACAACTCAAATAAAAGCAGCATCAGAGTTAGCCTCTTTGTGCTCTGTTACGCAAGAAAGTGAATTGAATTAAAGGAAGAAAAAGAAAGCGTACTCTAACGCGTGACGTGCGCGACAAGGAGCCCGCAATCCTGAAGAAAATCATGCTGTAGGAAAACAATGGATGTGCAAAACAATGATATCTACCACGAAGTACAAATTCTTTAGAGAAAGGGTGAATCGGATAGAGGATAGTAGATTAAGATGAGAATGAAGAAAGAGCGTAATGTAACGATAGAAAGGCTGGAGGTGTTTTCGTCGTTGTTCTTGTTCATATAAGAAAAGGGAACAACTTGATGCGCATTCGGAAAGTGGGACGTGTAAATTTTGGATGAGGAGAAACGACGTAGCTCGCATGACGCATCTGTTTATAACAAATTGTATGATCAACAAAAGCCCAGCTTGGCTTGGCAAACACGGTCCCAGCCCACAGATTTTTCCTCCAAAAAACCTATCCTCAAGGAAGAAAAAAACACTAATCACCTTGTGTTTCTGCTAACTGCCGAGTAATCTCAACTTAATCTTTCACCTCTATAATCTATTACCATCTGTACTATAACACAATAAATCATCACAATTTATGCATTTTGTGATCGTAATTTCTTTTAAGCTGTAAATAAATTATGCTTTTGTTGTTAAGAGTTATTGTTTTCTTCTTTAAATCACTTAATCTCTCTTGTATTCACTACTCACTATTTGTTTATATTTTTATTTTTTAAATATTATTAACTAAATATAATTTCATTTTAATTTTTAGATTTGGAATCTTAACTTGTATTATTTTAAGAATATTTTTTAAAATAAATAAAATTCTAAGATCATTGTAATTCCAAAGCATCTTAAATTAAGTTTTAAATTTGACAAATCATATTTATAATCTATAATAATATATAAAAAAAATATTCTTATTTCATCTAAACTTTTATTAAGACTTTTATAAAAAATAAAAAATTTAATAATATATATATATATATATATTAATAAAAATGATATATCTTTTTTAGTTTATATATTTAGTTCACCATTTTGTCTCTTGATTTTCAAAAACAATCTTTCTCTTTAATATTTTTTCTTTTTATTTAGTTTTTATCTTTTTATGTATTTTTTCATAAATTAATTTTTCAATCTTCTCACACCTTCTAAATCAACTCCTATATATAAAAACATCAACAACTATCATATATGAAAACATTTTTAAGAGTTTTTTTTTTCTATAAGTGAGTTTCTAAGAATTCTCTTAATTTTATATTTAATTTAATTTTTATTTATCATAAATATTTATGAATTAAATTTTCATATTTTAAAAATAAATTATCAATAAAAATAATTTTATGATATAATATAAATTATTTATTACAAATCCAAAATATAATTTATATATTTTAAAAAATGTTTACTTATTCAAATTTTAAATATAATTTATATATTCACACATAATATTTAATTATATACGTAGTTTTTATAAATAAAAAATAATAATTATATAAAATAAATATTTAATATATACATTACACAAACTAAAATACTAATAATTATTAAAAATTGTCACATTTTTTAATTGTTAATCACTTATATATTTAGCTTCAATCATTTTTATTATGTAAACAAAAATATATAAAGGCATTAAATATCTTTTTAATGCTAATGTATATAAAGTAGTACACATTCTATCAATAATAATTATTTAGTTGTTTTACTATTTGTTTTAATGAAAGTAGGAAATACCTTTTATCTTAATATTATCAATAAAAATGATGTGTTAACTCAAATAATCTATCTAATATATATATTTTTTTTTTGTATTTAATGGCAGATCAACTAACGCAAATATGATTTTTAGATAGTTTCTATAAAAATTGTTAATTTAAATAATTTAATATTTATACTGTTTAATCAATGAATTAAGTAAAATTGTTATTTTAAGTATGAAGTCACGATTAAAAATAATTTTTATTTTTATAAGAGTCAACTAGCTTGAAAAGAGTTTTTTTTTTTTTTTTTTTAAAAAACAATCTTATATCATTTTCAAAGATACAATAAGGAATATATCTAGAAGAATGAAGGTCAGCGTGCATTTCAGTTGCCCTTGCTAATTTGTGATTGCTAAGTTACAAAATTGATCCTAGAGTTTCAAGATCCTTTGGGACTATTCGACAATTTCGCATTATAACACCAAACTCAATAAGGTTCTCCTCTTCATTATCAAAGTTGTTAACCACTCTCTGGCAATCAGTTTCAAAAGTTATCGCATGCAAGCCTTCTGATTTAACCTACTGAAGCACACTAAGCATAGCCAAAGCCTCACATTCACGAGGGTCTGGCATGCATAAACCCTGTACGCTTTTGCTTGAACAAAAGCACCTGTGTGGTACCAAAGACGCATGCCAAAACCACATTCCTCAAACTCAGCGAAACGGGCTGCATTGACATTACACTTCAGACAACCTATCAAGGGTGGTTCTGGTTGCCATTGGTTCAGGCGAGTAAGAACAACTCTCTAATCCGTAGCTTTATCCTTCTGCCTTGCTTGAATCCAATCTGCTAGTTGTTCTCTAGCTCTATAGACTATAGATTGTAGCTGAATTTTTCCACTTTGTTCATTGCAAGATTATCTCATTCTCGTTGTGCAAGTACTCCAAAGGGTCATCATAAAATTTGAAACTTTGTTGATCTCTCATGACTGTAGCACTTTGAATATTAGCTCCTGCATAATTCCCATACCATCAGTGAGAGTGCAAAAAGGCTCATAGAGGTTGATTCCTATCCAGCATTGTTTGTTCTCTCACAGCCAACAAAAAGGTGCCATGTATTTTCCGTCTGTGTTTCGCAAAGAGGACACAATACAGAGCAATGGACACCCCGTCTCTGCAGACATGATCTAGTAGGCAAAACTTATCTTCCTATTCGCCACAGATAAGTTTTTATTTTTGAAGCAATATTGAGCTTCCAAACATGATTCCAATCTCCATGTACTTTCGATGATTCTGTATTTAGTGCATTATCCATAAATCCCTTATAGGCAGATCTTATCATGTATTTTCCATTTTTACTCCACCTCCATATACGCTCAGTTGCACCAGCCACATCACTGATAGGGATCTTCTTAATAGCTTCCAAATTCGCTAGTTCCAGCAATGAATGTAATATACTAAGGTTCCATGTTTTATTCCCACCATCCACCAAATATGACATTCTCATATCTTATAAAGCTCTAGGGATCTGTGTTTGAATGCAACAGTCACCATTGATGGTTTTCAGCTAAGGCTCGCTCCATACACGGATGATGTTCCCATTACCTACCCTCCACTTATAAGTATAACCCTCTTTTATCAGTAGTTGTGCATTCCAAATATTATGCCACGTTTAATTCAGATTTGGCACATGTTGTAAGTCAAGTCATGTCCAAGCAAGATAAGCGACATTGGGATGCAGTGAAGAAGATCTCCAAGTACCTAAAAAGTACAATATCTCATGGTATTATGTTTGGCAGTCAACAAGGTGATCCTTTAGTTATGAGATTTGTTGATTCAGATTATACTGGTGACTTGGATGACAAGAGATCTACGACATGATATGTTTTTACTCTTGCAAGAAGATCTATTTGTTGGAAATCAACAATTCAGTCAATTGTGGCAATGTCAACAACTAGATCAGTAATGTATTAGAAGAAAGGGGAGGGAGCTATAGGAGATCTTTAATTCTTGATCCGTATTTTATATTCAGACACTGTACAAATGTATTATTTATTCAATAAATACATATTAATAGTGCAAAAGAATTATGTTATTATACCTGTCAGCAAATCAATAAAACAAGAAAGTCATTTACAATAAGAGTCAGACAGAGAGCTTAACTAGGTGGGAATCACCTGGCCACCATGCATCTACGATGTTGCTTTCTGCAACCTTTTCCTCTTCTTCCTGAAAACCTAACTTATATCTATTATAATTGGTGGTTTCACTAGACTTGAATGGCCTTTCACCCAAAATTCGAACCAAGTCTTCCTGGTGAAGCACTTCTTTTTCAAGCAGCAACTCTGCAATTTGAGTAACTTGCTCCTTGTGTTCCTCAATAATTCCTATGCTTTCTTCACCCAATCACGCATTTCCTCATCAATGATTGTCGCAGTTGTGCTGCTGTGTGGTTTGATCCCAAATTGGTCCACCTTCGAGGAAAAGAGGGGAGCCCCACTCTTTCACTGAAACCATAAACTGCTACTTGGTTATATGTCATCTTGGTCACTTTTTCCAAGTCATTTTGTGCTCCTGTTGAGATTCTCCCTATAAGAATCTGCAGTAACAACGGATGAATTTGGAAAACCATCATTTTCATGGCTTTGGTATTAAGGAAGCATCAAAATCGGATAACAAAAGCCATTAAACGACGTCAAAATGCAAGAATAAAATTTAAGCTTAAATATATTTTTAATTTTTTTAAATAATATAAATTTGATTTTGATTCCTTAAATTTTAAATTAATTTTTTTATTATGTGTAATTCGAAAAAATCTGATTGTAAACCATATTTTTAATGAATTTGTCAAACAAAAACACCTATTAATGAATCTACTGTTCAATGCTATTGATAATGAAAACATTATATTAGACTGAATTGTTGGTACACAATTTAATCTATCATTTTTTGTGATGTTATAGATGATTTTCTAGAGTAGGGATGACAAATATACTCATATCTGTGTAATACTTGAACTCGTCCTGATTTTAATGGGGAATACCCGGTTCAATTAGATATGGGTACAGGCATGGGTAAAACTCGATATATTAAATCAGGTACGAGTACGAGTATGTACTTACTTGCCTCGTACCCGTCCCCGTACCTCTCCTCGTACCCACTCCTAATTTAATACTCACTCACAATTTAATTATGTTAAAAAAAATTATATTTTATTATGTGTGATTATTTATTATAATATGAGATAGAGAAATAACCTAATTATAATTGTAATATAATAAAAAATTAATTTAAAAATATTGTATTTTTTTACAAAAAATAAAATAAATAATTTTTGGTACATATCTTATCTAATATATTTATATTTTTGTAAAAGTATATTAATATATATTTAGTTATATTTATCAAATTATTAGTTTATCTATAAATATACTAAAAATATTATTGATATTAATTTATCAGTAATATTAAAATACTATTAATACATAAATTTTATTTATTTAGTAATAATAAATACATATCATTTGATACATTAACAAAAATTATAATATAAGTTAACTTAAATAAACAAATAGTTGTATAATTTTAAAACATTATATAAATATATATTTATATTAAAATTTTAAAATTATTAAATTTTTAATAGGAAAGACTAAAATTGCACAATTATGATATTTGAGGGACTAAAATTGTTCAATTAAA